GCTGAAAGAAAGTCACTTACCAAGTGTGTTCGTGCATATATCAATAGATCAACAGGTGGTGGGCTATGGCTAGGGGAGAAGATGTTTCTTAGGTTCCAAATGTTGTCTTTATCGAATGTGCAGTCTCTTCTACAGGCATCAGATACTATCTTTAGTGCATTCCAGGCTTTAGGGTCCTGAGACTAGATGTCTGTCAGGCTAAGCTACACAGTCCAAGTTTCATTTAGTCACCAAGGATGTTAATTGAGATACAGAGGTTGGTGGTAAGTGGCTATAAAAAGGGAGAGGAAATGGCCTAGGATGACTGGCTCCAGACCTACAACATTCCATCTTTCCACAACCAGGACATTTTAGTGAGCCAAGGTCAAACGATCTGTAGGCTAAGTATGGCTTCTTGAGAGAACCTGGGTTCACCACCTTTTTTTTTTTTTTGTCTTTCTTCACTTGGGTTCCCCATTTTTATGGTGATGCTGTACAGCATTACAAAGCTGTCATATAGAGAAGAGATCAAAAGGCAGAAAACAGAAAACCCAGGAAGAAAATCTATGAGGGCTGCCAAGCAGAAAACAGCAATTTTCTGAATCGTACGGTGTCTATATTATCTGCTAATTTTTAAAACTTGAATTTCACAATGATTTATTTTCTATTCTCATTCTAATGAACATTTACCCACCTCGCAAATTTGAATTCCTTTTTCTGGAGTTGCAGGGTTTCAAGGCTGGTCTTGAACTTGCCATATTCTTGCCTTAGCTTCCTGAATACTGGGATTATAAGGCACAGAATGCTTCACCTGGCCTCTGTATTCCTTTAATCACTTACTAATTTATTTTTGAGACAGCATCTTACTGTGTAGCCTGGCTAGCCTGGAACTCACTATGTAGACCAGGCTGCCCTCAAACTCACAGAGATCTACCTGTCCCTGCCTCCCAAGTGCTGGAATTAAAGGCAGGCACCACTATGCCCAGCTATTATCATTTTTTAAAAATTTTAATTTATTATTTTTACTTTATGTGTATGAGTGTACTGCCCGAATGCATGTAAGTGCACTGGTGTTGTACAATGCCCATGGAAATCAGAAGAGGGCATCAGATCCCCTGGAACTGGAGTTACAGATAGTTATTAGCTGTCATGTGGGTGCTGGGAATCGAACCTGGGTCCTCTGGAAGAGCGGTCAGTGCTCCTCACTGCTGAGCCATCTCTCCAGTCCCCCCCCCCAGTTATTATTTTTAAAAAGATTTATTTATTTATTTACTTATTTTATTTATAAGCATCTTGCCTACATGTTATCTAAGTGCACCTCATGTGTGCAATGTCTGAAGAAGGTGTCAGATCCAACTGGAGTTACAGATGGTTGTTAGTTGCTATGTGGGTGCTGGGAATCAAACCTGGGTCCTCTGGAAGAGCAATCAGTGCTCTTACCTGCTTAACCATCTCTTTATCCCCTCCCCCCAGCTATGATTTTAAAGGCGGTTTTTAAAATAGCTAGAGGTCCACAGACCTGGGTCTGCTTTCTTATTGGCAGGCAGGCAAAGGGAGGAAAAACCTGGTTTCTTACATTTTCTGCTGGACTGACGAGGGAGAAAGCTGCTATTTGCATCAGCCTCACCTTAACTGGCAAAGGAAGGGGAGTAGAGATAATTATCTGTAGGTGGGTAGAATTTTTTGGTCTTTTTGAGACAGGGTCTCCCTGTAGCCCCAACTGTCCTGGAACTCACTACGTAGACCAGGCTGGCCTTGAACTCACAGAGATCCGCCTGCCTCTGCCTCCTGAGTGCTGGGATTAAAGGCGTGCCCCACCATGCCCGGCAACTTTTTTTTTTAAAGCCTGGGTCTTGCTATGATAGCCCAGGCTGGCCTAGAACTCATTATTCTCTTGCCTCAGCATCCTGAGTACAAGGGGTAACATTTACAGGTAAGTGCCACTGGAGCTAGCCTGAACTGTTAGGCTTGAATGGTTGATGTTTACAACCTGAAGAAGAGACGTCCTGGCGTGGTGTTTGTACAGAACTCTCCTGCTCCATCAGAGCTGTGGGTAAGCAGCAAGCTGGACTGACCACTGCCATTGTGCTGTATACTTGGAAGAGTGACTTCTTTAGCACTTTTCGAGGCCTGCTTTGTCATGCAGAGGTACTGTGCTTCTACTTGGAGGGTGGGGGTGGTATTGTGGCTGAGTCTAGCAGGAGTACACCTCTGTGTCCAGGGAGCCTGGGGATAACTTCCTTCTGAACCAGGCAAGCTGTCCCACTGTTCTAAAATCATTGATGTACACAACAGTAATTCTTGGGATGCTGGGGATTCTGGTTAGGTCTGGGACTAGTTCTAGCTTGGAAGGATGACAACCACCAATCTCCTGACCACTGCAGCTCTTAGCTCTGCCTCTTGACAAGCACAGTTTCATCTGTTTCCTGTCTTCGTCTGTAAATTTCCTGAAGCAGCAGCTGTATTTCAAACTTCATAATCTGCTATACCAGACAAATGGTTCTTAAAAGGAAAAGGTTCTGACTCTAATTTCTAATCAAAAGTTTGAGAAATTCAACATCTTCAGACTTGAAAACTCTGCTGGGTCCTGGTGCCTCCCAACAAGAGCCCTGAGCCATGATTTCTAGACAGACACTCCACAGGGCAATACCTCTGGCCTTTGGCCAATCTTAGGGTTTGAATGAAATGTGCCCCATAGGCTCCTGTGTTTGAACATTTGGTCCCTGTAGGCTGGTGCTATCTTTGGGAGTCTGTGGAACCTTTGGGACATGGAGCCCAGCTGGCTGATGTAGGCTGGCCAGGAGTAGGCCTTGAAGGATATCCTGGTTCTGCTTCTGGTCTGGCCCTCCACTTCCTGATCTGCCAAGATGGGAACAAGTCATGCTGCAAATTCCTGTTACCATGGACCAAGCCTCTGCAGCCACCATGGTGCACCACCTGAACTGTGAGCCAAAATTAATCTCTCCTCTCTTAGGCTGCTTCTGGCAGCTATCTGGTCATAATAAACACAGCTAATACAGCCAGCTTCCCTTGTTTGGCATACATTGTTACAGTATGTGACATTCAATCTTTTTATGTACTATGAGAGCAGAGGGCAAGGCAAGACCTTGCTTTAAAACCCCTGGCCTGGCACACACAGGCTGCAGGCTGGCAATTTCAGGTTACAGGTCTCAAAGGCCAAGGGCAGCTTAAGATGAACCCAGTGGTTGGGACTCTGCTCCATGCCCTTTTTTTTTGTTTTTGTTTTTGAGACAGGGTCTCCCTGTAGGCCCAGCTATCCTGGAACTCACTATGTAGACCAGGCTGGCCTTGAACTCACAGAGATCAGCCTGCCTCTGCCTCTTAAGTGCTGGGATTAAAGGCATGCACCACCATGCCCGGCTTGGACTGTTGTTTTAACCCATGTTGTGTTTCCTTGTTCCTGCAGCCATGGGAAATGGATGCCCTCAAATGAATTCTTTCCATACTCATTCTGACTGCTCACAGCTCCACCAATGAGATAAAAGTGTGTGTGGAACTTCTCTTCCTCTGGATTCAAAAGCTCTCCTGCTATAGTAAGAGGAATGTACATGCACATTAAGGAGTTCTGAGAAGCAGATTATGGTAAAAGGATACCATTTCAGCTGGGCACATGGTGGCACACCTTTGATCCCAGCACTCATGAGGCAGAGGCAGGTGGGTCTCTGAGAGTTCAAGGCCAGCCTGATCTACAGGGAGACCCTGTCTCAAAAAGTTTAAAAAAACAAAACAAAACCCAAAAACAAAAACAAAACATTTCTAGGAGCCCATTATCCAGGATCACTGACTAACTAAAAGCTCTGGGTTTTGCTCCGCGTCAGTCTGCTCAATAAAACCAGCAGTCCCAGCATAGAGGTATCACAAAATTAACTGAGGGCTGTAGTTCGGTATCTAAGGGTTAATTAAGTCTGAAATAGTGATGATGGACACCTTTGCTGGCATTTGGGTCTTTGGAGTCAGGGGTAAAGTAGCCCCACCTACCTGCCCTCATTCTGAAGAATGTTCACCTTATAGAATGCAGTCCATTCTGACAAGCCGGCATGGCCCAAGACTTCCTCAGCAACTTGGAGCCTCTGGCTGTCCCCTTCTGACCTTTGCCTAGCACCTCCCCACTGACTGAGTGGGAACAGAGTCCCCACAGCCTAGTAGGCTCTTCTGTTGATGACACATTCTAAGGACAATGATGAGGGTTACCTAGCAGACCTTGTTCCTAACTGGGTAGCAGTGGCTAGCCTTCTTCCAGCCCCCTTCAGTCACCTCCTCTCCCCCTTCCTTCACTATTAACCCCTCCAACCCCGCCCCAATCTGTTTTCTACAAAGTAGCCAAAGTGTGAATCTAAGTTGATATGTTTGGTTTATTTTTTATTATTACTATTATTAGAGACAAAGTCTTGTGTATTATTATTATTATTACTATTATTAGAGACAAGGTCTTGTGTATCCTAAACTAGCCTCAAGCTAACTTTGTAATTGAGGATGATTTCGATTTTTGGACCTTCCTGCCTCCTTGTGCTGGGATTGTATGTGTGTGATGCTGGGGATTGAACCCAGGGCTTCATGCATGGTAAACAAGCACTGCATCAAGTGAGCCACATTCCCAGTCCTTAAGTTGCTATGTTAAGACAGAAATCAAGTGAGCCTTTCTCCTACACCTACGCCCCATGGTTTCCCAGCTTATGCAGAGTAAATCCACTGTCCCTGATATGATCCAGAGTACCATGAGGTGGCCCCTGTCTGTCCTGCAACCTCAGGTTCTGCTGGTATGCACAGCTCTCTAGACCAGAGTCTCTGGGAGGTTTCTGAGATGATGAGGTCTATCTGTGGCAGGTCTCCAAGGCCACTGTGCACTTCAGGGCCACTCAGAGAAACTGGTCAATATGGACTTTTTCATAGATACAATGTGGTCACAAGTCACGCTGAAACCTTCATTACCAAACATGTTAGATCACGCCTGCCCACCTGCCTCTACTGTTCCAGGACTACCCCCTGCATGTGGCACTTACTCCCAAGTATTCTGTGGTCAGAAGCTTCTCGCCTGAGAGTTCTCCGAGCTGGGGCTGGATCAGTTCATCTTTGTCCAGGTCAGCTTCCATGATGTCATGGTCCTCCTGTTTTAAAGGAGACAGGAGTAAATGCTCTGGACACTCACCTGGTCTCAATCCTCTCCTCCTTCCCCCGAGAGTGTGCAGGCAGCATTTAGGAAATGAGAGGGTATCAGCCTAGCACAAAGCTCTAGGTCTCAGGAGCCATCTGTCCCCTGCTCATAACCCCTCCATGAGAATGAGGGTGACAGAGATGACAATCCCTGGGGAAGCTGGAAACCCAGGGAGTGCTTCCATGGCTACAGACATGAAGGTCCAAAGGGTCCCTCATTAGCAACCTAGATGGACATAGACACCCACATACACACATGTGCATCTACCACACACGCGCGCACACACACACACACACTAAAATGAAAAAGGGAATGTTATAATTTGGAAAATGTTGCAGTAAGATGCATACACTACACACACCACTGTGGCTCTGAGGTCCAATACCTTCACAAGTCAACCTGTGGCAAAGGAGACGACCCTGCCAAACATAAGAGAAGGTATAGCGGGAGTGCTGGAAGATGAAACCCACCAGGACTGTTGTACAAGGCACCTGTACACAGCAGATTCTAGCCTGGATTCTGTGCAGGAACAACACCCAAACCCAGGGAATAGCTGCTGTAGCACCCAGTCGATCTTGAGAATTTCAATGATAGACACACAATAAATAGCAGCAGCAGCCACCGCCACCACCTCAGTAAAAAGAGAAGGGCTGGTTGCTTCTGGGAAGAAGCAGTGGACTCACTTTCCCTACTCTTGTCATCAAGTACAGCTAAAACCCTGGGTACTACATACAGAAGACCCTGAAAGATGGAGAAGGCAGACGAGGCAGAGGTGACAGGAGGTGAGCCCCTTGGATGTTTACTTGCTTTATCTCTGACTTGGAGCTGAAGAAGCCAGCAACTAGAAATGCCAATGTGAAGACTCAGGTGTCTCTAAGCCTGTGTCCCTAGCAACCAGAAAAGAGATTTAACATGAGGGAAACATTTTAGAAAAATAACTAAGCACCTTAGAAAACATTATGCCCAGGTCCCAACCATGCCAGCCAGGGCCTCAAACTCTGTGGCTTCTGCCCTTCCAGGCTCTGATGAGGCACCACGTCTCCAGGTGGTGAAACCAGAGAAGGCAAGGCAGAGGGACATTTCATACCTGCTGACAGAGCAGAGGCACCCCACCACCAACCAGACCCCAGATAGGAAGCAAGGGCTGCCGAGTGGCAGGCAGTAAGTTGATGTCTCCCTGCTGGGGTGGTGTCAGAGGCGCCAGTGGGAAGCAGTGGTGGTGTATTCCTACCCCTTCTTCAGGGAGGTGGTAGTGGAGGCCTAATGGGGAAATCTGACCTCCATCTGGAACCTGTAATTATCTACACCTGGCAGTAATGAAGAGGCGCCTCTGCTTCAGGGATTGGGCAAAGCAGAAGAGACAAGCTGAAACAGGCTTACATAAGGCCCAACTTCCTATACTATTCCAAATATCTTTATTTAAAGTTTAAAAAATGCCCTCTTATCACTAACCAAGGAGATCTCAAACTGAATGAAGCAAGACAATCACTAGATGGCCAGTATTTAAATGACGGAGATGTTAGAATTAGCTGAGATAGATGTACCTGGTAGTACACTTTTAATACCAGCACTCGGGAGGCAGAGGCAGGCAGATCTCTGTGACTTCAAGGCCAGCTTGGTCTATATAGGGAGTTCCAGGCCAATCAGAGTTACATCATGAGACCCGTTTCAAAAAAAAGGAAAACAAAAAAGTTTTGATGACCAATTGCAAATGCTGTTGAAGAAAATTACAGATGGAAAACCTCATGAACATAAAAGAACAAACTCCAAATAAGCAAAAGTAAGGAAATAATAAAGAGCAAAATCAATGGAAAGAAGATAGAAAACAGAAAATTGATGAAACAAAGAGCTGGTTCCTTGAAAGATCAAAAAAAAAAAAAAAAAAATGGGCAAACATCCAGCAAGGCTGACAAAGAAAAGAAGACATAAATTACTGATATTAGGAAGGAACCAAGAGATACCGCTACAGACCCTACAGACATCAAAAAGATAATAAGGACTTACCTCAAACTATTCTATAGGTTTGACAACTTAGAGGAAAACTGAAAGTATTATAATCCTTTCAACATGAAATAGATAATGTAAATAGTCTTACAACTACAAAGGAAATCAAATTCATAATCTAAAAATTCTTATATTACTTGCCTACCATGCATTAAGCCCTGGGCTCAATCCCCACCACTATAAAAACTGGATATGGGGGCTGGGTGTGGTTGCACATGCCTTTAGTCCCAGCAGCACTTGGGAGGCAGAAGCAGGCGGATCTCTGTGAGTTCAAAGCCAGCCTGGTCTACATAGTAGCGAGTTCCAGATCAGCTGGGGCTACAGGGAGACCCTGTCTCAAAAAGACCAAAAAAAAAACCCAAAAAAACAAAAAAACTGGATACAGTCATGGTACTTGCCTGTAATTCCAATCTTCGGAAGGCAGAAACAGGAAGATCAGAAATTTAGGTTTAGCCTTGGCTATTAAGTGAGTTTGAGGGAGCCTGGGAAACATGAGACCTTCTCTGCATCAAAACCAAAACCAAAAATAAATAAAAACAAATACAGAAAAACTTACAAAAGAAATCTTTAAGTTTATATGATTTCACTGGAGGATTCTACCAAGCTTTTCAGGAAGCAATATCAAAAAAAAAAAAAAAAAAGGAAGGATGCTGGGTATGGTGGCACACGCCTGTAGTCCCAGCACTTGGGAGGCAGAGGTAGGTGGATCTTTGTGAGCTCAAGGCCAGCCTGGTCTACATAGTAAGTTCCAGGACAGCTGGGGCTACAGGGAGACCCTGCTTCAAAAAAAAAAAAAAAAAAAAAAAAAAGGAAGGAACATTTCCTAATTCATTTTAGGAAGCTAGTGTTAGCCTAATATTAAAATCAGACAAAGTACCTACAAAGTACCTAAAAAAAGAAAAACAAATATCTTCATCTCATGAGTATAGTGCAGAAATTCTCTTTTTTTTTTTTTTTTTGAGATAGGGTTTCACTATGTAGCTCTGGTTGGCCTGGAACTAGCTATGTAGACCAGGCTAGTCTTGAATTAACAGAGATCCACCTTGCCTCTGCCTCTCTAGTGCGGGTTTAAAGGCATGTGCCACCACATCCAGTCAGAAATTCTTAGCAACATATTAAAAGAATTACACACCATGCCCAAGTGGGGCTTGTTCCAGTGTGTAAGACTGAGTCAATATTTAAAACTTAATCATTGGAAGCCATGATCTTTTTTTTGGGGGGGGGGGAGTCTTTTTGAGACAGAGTCTCCCTGTAGCCCCAGCTATCCTGGAGCTCACTATGTAGACCAGGCTGGCCTTGAACTCACAGAGATCTGCCTGCCTCTGCCTCCCAAGTGCTGGGACTACAGGCATTCGCCACCACACCCGGCTTTAAAAAGGGTTTTATTTATTATTTTTATTTCATATATCTGAGTGTATTGCCTGCATGTATGTAAGTGTACCCATGTCATATAATGCCCAGAAAGGACAGAAGAGGGCATCAGATTTCCTGGAACTGGCATTATGCCATGCGGGTACTGGGAACTAAGCCGGGTCCTCTGCAAGAGCAGTCAGTGCTCTTGTTAAGAGCTGAGCCATCTCTCCAGCCCCTAGAAGCCACAATCTTAAGTCTACAAAGGGAAAAAAAATGGCACAAAAGTGTATGGAAAAAAAGCATTTGACAAAATTCATACTCATGACAAAAGCTCTCTGAAGAGTAAGAGAGGGTATAGACAAACACCACTTAAAGATGGCCCAGGGCAAACAGCACACTTAGCCATGAAGGAGGGAACAAGGCAGGGACTTCTCACAGCTCTTATCAACACAGTGCTACAAATTCTGATCAGACTAACAAGGCAAACAACAGGAAAGGTAAAAACATAACTGTCCCTACTTGTAGGCGATGAAATTATCTGTGTAAAAAATCTGCCAGAGTTCAGAAAGGTCACAGGATATAAAATCAACACAAAAGCCCAAGGTTCTGTTTTGTTCTTGTAGAACTGGGGACTATACTCAAGGCCTTGTCCAAGCTAGGTAAACACTCTACCACTGAGCTACATGCAACCCCTATTTTCATATATAATAAGCAAGAGCTGAAATTAAAGATTACAGTATCATTTATAATTTCTCAAAAACAAAGAAAAAAGACAAAACTTTAATAAAAGAATTCAAAGATAGAAGTTCTAAATGAATGTTCACGTATGCTTTGTGCATGAGCTGTAAGACGGCGTGGTTAAGATGCCAGTACTCGGCTGGAGAGATGGCTCAGCGGTTAAGATGACTGTTATTGCAGAAGACCCAGGTTCGAATCCCAGCACCCACATGGCAGCTAACAACTGTCCATAACTCCAGTTCCAGGGGATCTGACAGCCTCTTCTGTCCTCCGCCAGCATTGCACAACACAGATGTGCACTTACCTACACGCAGGCAATACATGCATACGCATAAAATAATAAATATTTTAAAAAGATGCCAGTATTTGCCAAAGTGACACAGATTCAGTGCAATTTCTATTAAAATCCCAGCAAGATGTTTTTGTGGCCATACAGAAGATTATTCTAAAATTTTGATCAAAAGGGAAGACAATTTTGAAGGTGAACATGACTTCCTGCATAGCTACAATAATCCAGATCATGTGTTGCCAGCAGGGCAGACACAGATTCATGAAACAGAAGAGAGAACTTGGCACCAGAGCTACACAAATCTTCCCAACTGGTCCTACTTTTCTGAATTGGGCATCTTCCTATGTTAATGCTGGTCTTGAATTCTTGGGCCCAAGTGATTCTTCCAAACAGCTGAAACTACAAGCACATGTCACTGTGCACAGTTAGCTCCTGACTGATTTTTGACACAAGAACAGGGTTAGGAATATGGTAAATAATAAGTATACTAGCTAGGGATAAGGGGGAAGGTCTGTAGGGGTTCAGTAAAAATGAGATTTTTCTCCTGAGTACTTCTGATCTTTGATTGG